ATGTATTAATATACACACTTAAAAATTATTCTATTTATACCAATGGCAACTAGACTCAAATAAAATCCAACCATATAAGGAAATCCTTCTAGTTCCATTTGTACAATTTATAGTGAATTTTCAAAATTGACTTATAGAAGTTGTTTTGAGTAGAATTTGCTTCCATGTTTTCTGAGCTATTTACGATTAAAAATTCATATATTTTTTGTATACATCTCAAAATCAGTTTTCATTTATTCTACATAAAACTATACTGATATAAAAATCCAACGGTATAAAAATCATCCTCTAATTATTTTTGTATAATTTATGGTGATTTTATAAACTTACTGTTCGGAACACAACTCTAGGCATATTTCACCAATTTGTATTTTCAGCTTATTCACTAATTCTATTAGCTCACCAAATGAACATATATGCATGAACCAAAAATCACATAACAATTAGGAGTCACTTCTTACGATATTAACTTCGTCAGTGGCTTATCACAAGCCAATGTTTGTTCGATAACATAAGTACAAATTAAATTTGCACTCATTATCTTGTAAATCGTCCTTAGAAATTCACATTCCATCCTTAAGCTTCTCCTTAGCTTTAAAAATGTTTGATCTTGATTTCAAGCATACAATCTAAATGAGCATCATTACAAAACATGTACAAATTCAAACCACATATTAGAATCTTACTAACATAGGCACACATTAGAAAATAAATTCTAAAATCTTTCGATGCTCATTCGATACTATTTCCATGTCACAACATAAATGTTGACCTTAACACTTTTAATTGACTATTCAAGTTACTTTTTATCCAAACTTTACATAACATTTCACTTAAGTTCCCAACTTTTCTATATTTGTGATTTGAACCTCAACTTTTACCAACTTTCCAAAATAATCCAATTTCACATTCTAATATGAATTCCAACACTCTAACATTAATTTCCAGCATAGTGCATCAACTATTGAACAATTACACATTGTTCCCATAATTTTCCATAATTTCCAAATAGGTCCCCCAACTTTCAAAAAATTATATAAGGGTTCCTATAACTTTCTAAGGCTTGTAGAATCCTTCCCACATCATTTACAACCCTTACATAATTTTTTCACAATTTTCTCACTCATTCAAGCCATGGTCAAATATTTTAGTGCTATGGTCAAAAAATTATGTAAGGGTTCCTATAACTTTCTAAGGCTTGTAGAATCCTTCCCACATCATTTACAACCCTTACATAATTTTTTCACAATTTTCTCACTCATTCAAGCCATGGTCAAATATTTTAGTGCTATGGTTCCATAATTTTCACTTGATTTCAATTGATTCAAGCATGAAATCAACCTCTAATCAACATTATAAAATCTCTACAATCGAACTCCTAATCAAATTTCATCAAACACAAAACTTCCCCAAATTTTAGGGTTAGGGTGAAAATCATAGATCCATTTTTATGAGGTTTGATCATGATTTGATCATCAATCAAGCTTGGAAATGATTCTACAATCTCAATAACTTCAAAATCCATCATTAATTCATGAAACCCTAACATGAACATAAACCCTAGAATTTGGGATCTTTGAACTCAAGCAAAATTAGTACGCAATAATGGTACCAAATGATAGCGTTTTTCTAATAGAACAATTTTCTATTTCACGTCTTAATCCAAAATCCAAAGGAAATTGCTCAGAAATGAAAAATAAAATTTTTCCTCCATACCTTTTGAAGCTCTCATCCATGGCTGATTTTGGAGATGAAATATCATGAAATTTCTAGTTAATTTCATGTTAATTTATCATTTATTAAGCTTATATGAATTTTATAAAATTCATTTAATGGGAAATGACAATTTTACTATTACTGAAACTTGATAATTACCGTCATACCAAACCACATAACTCTTATCATCTTCCTAAAGTCAAAGATGGAAAAAATATTTCACCTTTTTTCATTTTATCCATGCAACTTTCCAAAAAATTTAATCTTGTCATTTTAATCCAATGGTCCAAATTGAACATGGAAATAAATCCTCAAATCCAATTATCTATATTATTTTCTACCATTTTAAAATGTGAAAATAATATTTCTATGCTTAATTTCATATCTTCAAATTTTCTCAAATTTCTATTTGATTCGATTTACCGAATTTTCACCGAACTTTAACACTTTTTAGCTTTTAACACAAATTTCGGATCAAGAATTTGTTTTTCATAAAACCCCACTCTCAAGAGTAAACTATCCATTTATAGAATAAAAATTCTTTTTGGTAAAATTATCACTTAGGTCCCTAAACTTTTCTCAATTTTATATTTTAACTACTAAACTTTTAAAATTTACATTTTGGTCACTATCCAAAATTTTTGGTATTACATTCATAACATTATACATGGATGTTTTATACATCATTGGGTAGGACTTGGGATAAGTCTACCTTATTTACATTGGCATGATATTTATGTTGTTTATCATATATTTGACATATTCTAAATATGTCAAAGGTTGAATATAAAATGCATTGATCACTGGTTATTATATGATGTTTATTACGAATGTTATTTTGGGTATGAACTGCCCAATGTTAAATTATATTAATATACATTGTCATGGATGGAATAAAAATAAACTATATGCCTAAGTAAATCATTGAAGGACAGGGTATAGTTGGCATGTCATAGAGTTTATCAACAACTGCATAATTGGTAGCATTAGTGTGTCTAGAAAAGACACATGGTACATGCATTAGAGTGTCTAGCAAAGACACATGGTGCAAAACACTAGATTGTATACCCAAGACAGTGTATATAGTGGACACGACCTTATGTGTATGCACTACAGTGCATATATTTGACTTGAGTACCTAGGGTCTTCATAGGTTTATGTTTGGTCTATGATTTATTGGTTAATAATTGATATACAAGTTAATAAGCTTATGAGCTTATGGAATAAATGGTAAGTATATTGGTAAGAAATTTTATATATGGTTCATATCATGTTAGTATTAGTAGCATGATTAAAATTACAGGTAAGTGATCATAATGCATTGATTATTGTTACTCATTTGGTAAAGTGGTCATAATGCCTTAAATATGGTTACTCGTTTACATTTATGTGTTGCATTGCCTTGAATATTTCTATGATTGCCTCACTAAATGTATACTTAGCTTATGATGATTTCACTAGGTAAAGAAAGCGAGAGGAGCAAGGAGCTGAGCTTTGCATCAATCACCTAGGAATATTTATAGGTAATAGTAATGACATCCTATTGTATTCTAAATTTTCTAGTTGGCATGTATACGGGTAAGAAATGTCTGTAAAATATAAATATAGTGAGTATTATATATAATTAATAATATGAATAAATATTATGGTATTAAATTTTATTTTAAATATTAATTAATTGGATTTTAAATCAAACAGTTTTTAGACAGTTTTATTTATGATATGAAAAATAATAGAACTGCTTAGCTGATACTTAAAAAATGGATTTGAAATAGAAGTTAGAATATTATTATATTTTTATATTTTGATTTTATATGATAAATTATTTTATAATAAATTTTAAATTTTGAAATTTGTGAAAGAAATAAAATTTTACCCATTTTGGATTATAAGAAATGTTTTGGATATTTGACGTGATATCTTTAACTCGTAATAGTACACACTTACGGGTTAAGGGTGTTACACACCTATTAAGAAAAAACGATATAGTTTAAACATTTATTTTATAATTAAGCTTTTAATTTATCTTAGTTAAGTTGTTTCACTTCTATATTAATTGATAAAAATTAAAGTTGATAGACAATAAAAATATAAACTTTAATAAAAAATAAAAAAAAATTATTTTATAAAATAAAAAAATTATCAATTATGGGCGATGAAGGTATAGGTAGTAATGGAAAAGATCGAAATTTTATCATCTTTATCTCGATTCAGAATCGATATCTAATCTCAATTCGTTTCAATTTTTTTAAATTATCTAGAACTCATCTCGAAATTAAACATGCATATCTATCTAGATCAGATTTAACCAAAAATAATAATCAATATTTTTTTGAAATTTAAACTAAAAACAAATTTAAAAATTCAGAAAGGAAACGGATTTTATTTTAGAAGGATAGTAACTAACCATGAGAAAATGTAGGAGTAGATTTGTTTTTTTAATATCAAAATAAAAATATTTCAAATAAAAATAAATAATTTTGAACACCAAAATCAAAATATATAAATTTAACATGCTCGTGGTACCTGAATTGAATTGAGCCATGTGTACTGCTATTATTTTCTTATTTTGTTCCTTCAAAGTCAGACATTATTTTTTAAAATAATATTTTTTTCAATTACGTGATATATTTTTATAAAAATATTATTTTTGATTAATCTAAGTAATTATAATATAATTATTTGAACTTAAAATTTTTAGAAAGAATAATATTTATTCTGACCATATTTAAGACCACTTAATAGCTTATTTTCGTAGAAATATTATAAGTGTAAACGAGGTGTTTTATCATATAAACTATAGTTATTGTTTTTTTTTTCATATAGTTGAACATGATCTTTCAAATATTTAAATATTTAAAAAACTAAAATAATCATTATAATGTTTAGTGATATAATAATTAATATTAATAAATTAATTATTGAGAAAAGTATTTCAATTAAAAGAGGAATCTTCCTTGAAGTCAATAAGAATAATTAACCGTAATAGCTACGTTTTCCCTGTTTGATTGAAACACTCTTCCAAAACTAAAATAATCATTATAATGTTTAGTGATATAATAATTAATATTAATAAATTAATTATTGAGAAAAGTATTTCAATTAAAAGAGGAATCTTCCTTGAAGTCAATAAGAATAATTAACCGTAATAGCTACGTTTCCCTGTTTGATTGAAACTCTTCCATCAAACCTTTCTTTTTCTTTTTCTTGTTTAAATTATTTACTCTTTTTCCATCTTAAAACCCTCTTTGTCCCCCAAATCCCAACCTCCACAGAAATCATCAATGGAGGATTTTGGGAATCACGCAGGCTTTGGTGGAGATGAAGAACAAGATCTTCTGGGAAACCCTTACTTGCCCGACCAGCTTCAAATCAATGATTATTATCATATTTTTGCTAACCCTAGTCTGGGTTTACAAGGCCATGATGATCTCTTTCGGTTTCAAAACCCTACTAGTTCTTCTTCCCAGGGATATCTCCATGAAAGCCTTGACGAGTGTTTTGGTCGGATGAATCTGAACCAGACGTGGAACGCCAATGATTTTGGGTCCAGTCCCATGTTTCGCGACGGTTTCAACGGCAGATATCTTAACTCCACCACGTCTCTCGGTGGTCAAACCACCGTTCAATCTGTGAATCCCATTGGAAGTACTTTCATCGACGATGGCTTGCATAACGTCAATTGCTTCCCGTTCCAAAACCCTCTGCCGATCGACGTGATGTCGCCGTCAATGCACAATCGGCAACGGGTTATTAATCCCAATAGGCCGTGTCTGGTTCATGAGCGGTCGAGATTTTCGTGGTCGTGGTTGAGGGAACTGAGAGGGAAGGTCTGTCAGGTGGCCAAGGATCAGAATGGGTGCCGTTTCTTGCAGGAGAAATTGGAAAATCCAATGATAACTGGTGAAGAAATTGAGATGATTTTCATGGAGGTTAAGGACCAATTGCATGCGTTGATGGTTCATCGGTTTGGTAATTATCTTATCCAGTATCTGTCCAAAGCTGCCGATCAAGTGATAAGGACTCAGCTCCTTTTCTTGCTTGTTCGTAGCCCTCAAAGGTTCCTTGAAGTTTGCACTGATATTCACGGGTAAGAACATATATATATATATATGCATATAATGTTGAGCTTAAATTCCCTGTGATTTATGGTTTAGATTTTAGAATTTCAAATAAATGGTTTAGGGTTTATTTTGTATGGTTTGAGGTTTATAATTGTTTGGGGTTTGGGGTTTGAGTTTCAAATTTAGGGTTAGGGTTTGAGATGACTTGTGTTTATGATACATGATGTGTGATTTAGAGTTTACTATTTAAAGTATAGGGTTTAATATGATTTTGAATTTGGGCTTTTTCTTTAACTGTTTAGGAGCCGGACAATACAGAAAGTAATGGAGTGTATCACCACCAATGAACAAAGATGCATGCTTCTCTCTTCTTTGAAGCCTATTGCCTTTATCCTGATAAACCACAGCAATGGTCATCATGTAATTCAACAATGCTTGTATAATTTCTCACATAAAGAAATACTGGTAAAGTAATCTCGAATATATATCCCTATACGATACATTTTAAATTATAATTTAATGACTTTCTTTGTATTTTCTGTGGACAGCATTTTACGAATGTAGTTGTAGCGCACTGTATCGAGATTGCTACCAACAAAAGCGGCTGTTGTCTGCTGCAAGAATGGTTGGTCCATGTTGATGCTAAAGATCAAGGCCGTTTGCTCGATCAGATTATCGCCAACGCCTTGCTTCTTTCCGAAAACGAATTCGGGTCTGTTTTTCCTTTTTTTAAAATTTTTTTTTGTGAAGAACCGTGATAATATCGGATCTTAAACGTAACGGACCAGATCATTTGTGTTTTTAGGAACTATGTAGTGCAGTTTGTGATCAAAACGAGAAATCGTTATGCTACGGCAGCAATAATCGGTCAGCTCAAAGGGAGCTTTGTTGCACTTTCCTTCAACAAGTATGCAAGCAATGTGGTTGAGAAGTGCTTGATATTTTCTGGGGAAGAACTCTCTTCAGCTATCATCACAGAGATCATAAATGATCCTGATTTTGTGAAGGTCATTGGGAATGACTATGGCAACTACGTTGTTCAATCAGCTTTGCTTGTTTCCAAGGTTATTATTCTTCTATCTTCTTTTCTTGCTTCTTTCTTTAAAATATATAGAAAAATTATCCGATATAAAGTTGAACTCACGCAAATATCTATTTTGATTTCACATGTTTCATTTAGGGTTTAATTTAAAATCTTAGACCCGATTTTGATTTGGAATTTGAGTTATATTTTAGGGATTAAGTTAGCGAGTGGAGTTTAAGGTTTAAGTTAGTGATTTGATTTGAGTTTAGGATTTAAACAAGCGGGTGGAGTTTAGTGATTTGAGTTTAGGGTTTTATTATATAGTTTGATATTAATATAAGTAAATTTTGTAAAACAGTTTTATATAACATATGTATCTAATAATTATTTACTCAGTTGGCATTGTTTGTGTCATCATAACATCGAAGTTTTCTTAAAAATTTAGTAGTTCGGTGTTTAGGGTTTTAGGGTATAATTTCGGAAATACATCGATATGTATATGTAACTTAAGTGTTTGAGGGTTTGCATGTGATTTGAATTTTGTTTAAACAAAATATGAGTTTTTAATTAACATGATACTTAAGTTTGAGGATTCAATCGTAACGTATGACTAGAAAAATCGAGTCACAAATTAATCGATTATTCAAATATTTTTAGGATTTTTCCCCCTTATCTCCTAACCCTGTGTTTTTCTTTTCTTGAACGCAGGGAGATCTACACGATGCTCTTCAAGCTTTTATCCGACACCATTATTCATTCCTTCAGAGCAATCCGTTTGGGAGGAGGGTGTTGAGCCGAGCAAGATGCCGCAAGAACCGCATATAATGCAATTTCGAGTCGTGTTGTATTTTCTTCAATGTCTGTACTCGGAGAGGTTTAGGATGATGTTCATGTTGATGTTGTCGTTTTGGTCGTATCCTCTAGTTGTTTTTTTCGTGTTGTGTGTTGTTAGTTGGAATCAGGGAAGTATTTGATATAATAGGTTAAGGTTTGTTGTTAGGTTAAGCTAAGGATTTTTATGTGTTCCATATGTGATGTTACAATATTATTTTTAAACTTTGAATCTAAATGTTTTCTTTTAAAGTATAATGTGTTGTTGTTGATCAACTTATCACGGTTTTGAGCATCAACGGTATAGCAGGTGATTGAATGTTCATTGTCAAATGATTGTGAGTATTAGTAACATATACAACTTTGGAATCACCTTAGTTTAATAAAAAAAATTATAACATGTTTCATGTGAATTATTTAAAATTATAGTATGATTTATAAAGAAAATGCATAAATATTTCATGAGTACGATTTATAAGTATTCAAAATTTTTAATATTAAACTTTCATGGACCTCTTTTCCATTACATACTTATATTTTCGAGTATCTATAAATATGGATACTTGATTATGAAATAGCCCTACTCTTACACTCAATCTCAAGACTCACGTTTAAATTTTTGCAAATTAATCCTCCATCTGTAATTTTGCCAATTTATGTCCTTTTTTGGGGTTAGGGAACATATGATTCAAATAATAAGAATTAAAGGTACATATATATTTTATAGTATTAGAGGAACATGTGATTTGAATTTGATCAATAATAGATTAAAATGACGGAAGAATTAAGACATGATAATTCGGTTGAAAACCTTCCTGCGGCATGATCAAAGAACAGCAATGGATGCATGGCGGTGGACGCGGCGGCCATGTTTTAACCTAGATTTTACTCAAAACAAGAACCAAGAAACAACGGGAACAACAACAAACAACTCTATCATAATAACATCAATATGTGTATGGGAACTGAAAATATTACAAGGTTGCATATCATGTTCGTTCTCTAAGGACATTTAGGGGTACCCTTCTTGTTCACCTTGTCTCTATAATAAGGGCACTCGTGTTTATTCCCATAGGTCCTCGACTGCACACATTTGCATTCTTCGCAACACATCCCACACTATTTGAAGCACCGATCCCACACCGCGACTTTGTTGAACCGATTCTTACGTTTCCCCTCACAAAAACCTTCAACATTCTAACATAAACATCAAAACATGCAAAACCTAATTTAAAGCTTATATAGTCGATGAGATCTCGTCGTGTAATGTTACACGACGTATTTCATCAACGAAATATGACGAAACCCAAGGTGTAGACTATGAGAAAAGTTGCTAACTTGAACGAGGTTGTCATTTCAGGTTCTGAAATAAAGGGTTGGGTTAGGTCAAATCCTCGTTAATGCCTACACACATAGGACGTTAGGATAAAGTAACACATTAACAAACAAACTTATACCTATAATTAAAGCATTCATGTAATGTATTCAAAATTAATTATTACAAGTATATGAATTCATCAAATGATCGCAGTAAAGGAAAGACGTATGATTTTATATTAGGAGGGTGAATTTGAACTTTATAAAATTTCAAGGGGAACGAATTTGAATTTATAAAATTTTAGCGGTAGAAAATAGATTTTTAATAGAAAATACATAAAAAAATCTAAAATATATGTTAATTTTAAATTTTTAGGGGTGATTGCCCCACTCGCTCCCACCTAAATCCATCCCTGATCTCACTGATAAGGGAAATACTATTCTCGCTAGAAGTCACAAATTTAAATAAAAATATCAATAGTTAAGAAATATTATGAGTAAATATTACTTTATAATCGCCTTAGACTCTTAAAAAAATATTACTAAAGGAGGATAAAATTTTAGGATTTAATCTTTTTATCTTTATAACTAATAATTGAAATACTCTACCAATAAATTACATGATTATTAATGTATTTATGTAAGAGATTAGATTCATAATAGATAAAAAAGTGTAATTAAATTTTGGTTGAGTCTTCTAAAACTGGTAGGAGGATGTGTATCATTTGTTAGCTGTATGCACTACCAAAGAACATAAAGTTAAAAACTCGTATTTAATTATTATTATTTATCAAACTTCCCATTTCCACAAAATTCAGTTATCTTTCAATTCCATTGACCAAAAAATATTTATTTCTTTTTCTTTTTTCCTTAAAATTTATTTTATTTCATAGAGAATGAATCTTCGGTAGAGATTATTGAATTGAGAATGGCTGTCCCTTTTTTCCATATGTATGGGGTAAGGGGAGGTAAGATAGTAGGCTACCCCCAACACCAGGTTGAGAGCAGCTTCCGTAAGAGACTTCCGAATTATGAAAAATGCCCTCCGTGGGACTCGATCCCACGACCTCAATGTTAAGAACCTTGTGCTCTACCAACTGAGCTGGATGGTCATTTCAGATTATTGAATTGAGAATGAGCTACAAATGCTAGGTGAGGTATCACGAAAATATATTTAAATTAAATAAAAATTTAATATTTTTAGATGGTGAGATCATTTTTTACATTCTTTTAATTAGAGATAATCAAATCGATTTTTTGATCAATTCAGTTTGAGAAGTATAATTTATCCACCTATATCTGATCCGAGTTTAGGGAAATCACATCCAACTCAAATGTTGAGGTAAAACCTTGTATCTAATCCGATCAGATACAAATGAAAAAATCTTAATAATTATCCTTAAATATATATAATAAAAGTATATTATTTTTTCAAATTAAGTAGAAGATTTTTTTATTCTAAATTTGATTTCGACTCAATCTCACTCTTTACGAAATCTAACTTGATTTGAGTCCGATTTAAAATAAAATAACTAGTACTATTAAATCAAATCAATAAAAATCTATCAAAATCAAATTATCATGCCCAGCTTCAATATATCCACGAATTTCTAATGGGAAAGAATCATTAAACTACCAAATTCAATTATTTTACTTTTAATTATAATATAACAAAATTAATATATAGTAATCTCATACTACTTTGAAGTACTACATCCACATTGACATGTTTAAATTTATTTTCAAACTTCTTTCTCCACTTTCCCAATTACTCAACAATGCATTATAGAATATTAACTCGAGCTTAGCAAACCTAAGTTGGACCTTATTATAATTATCCAAAACTTTCATTTATTTCGATTTCTTTTTTTTAATTATGATCAAATTAATTGAATGATTTAAATGATTAAACCCCAAAAAATGTATTAAACCTAATTAAAATACTTAATGATATACACGAACCAAACGATCTTATTGGTTAAAGGGATAATTGTTATCTGTAAAGGTCCTAGGTTCGAACGCGGCATCTATAGGTGTGTATGAACGTTCATTGTGAAATGATAATATTTTAAACAAATACTACCTTAAATTAGCCCCAAACCGATAAAAATACCTAGAAATCTTAATAGGTAGATATCACATCAGGGACACACACAAGAGTTTATATCATAAAATACGAATTTAAGAAGTTATATTAATAATGTAGAGAGTGTGAAATTAGATAATCAAAAAAAAAATATTTCAACATTAAAGAATTTAAAACTTTTAAGAGGTAAACCCCAGTCAACACTCAATTCGATCCACATCCATATCATAGTGATATAATTTTTCCTATTAGAATTTATTTAATGAGATGCATTGATCACAGTGTAAATTAAAGCAAGTTCAATGATAGTTTAATGGAAAGCAAATAGAGAACACAATAATTGTCAAAGAAAGGTGCCTCCTGCTGACATAACGAATCTATAATAAAGGGGGGGGGTCCTATTTCAACGTTGAATGACTTTTAAATTTTTGACAAATTTCATCCTAATATAAATTAGAGAATAATACTTATTTAGTATACTCGAATTAATGTTCTCTTAAATGTTATAATAATTATAATCAGAGATAGACTGATAGACAATTAGGGTAAGAGCTCATCTCTAAAAATTATAAATTACAATATAATTTATATTTTTATATTGATGATATAATTTTACGTTTACGATATAAAATCATATGTAATTCTTTAATAGATACTATGTATATGTTAA